CTTCCTCTGGATTTCTTCCATTCAAATTTAGGACAGGACCCAGCCACAGGGCTAAAAGGCTCAGGCTTAATTTCCTGTTCCACTTCTGCATCTTAGCAGATTTTTCAATCACGTCCCAAGCAGTGTCCATCAGCTTTTTGTGTGAGACATGATGTGCAGGTCTCTGGCATGGTATTTGGGTGGGTGACACCCGGGGACAGCCTAATCTGCTTGTAGCATCAACGGATTGCCGGATTCTCCACTTCACCCGTGACGGTAATGCCATAGGAGTCATGGATTAAATCTTCTATCTCCGTGTTTGTCTGCATGTTTAAAATCCATTCCTGAGCCAAGAGGTCCCAAACAGTCAACAACAAGCTCCTTGCCAAAAGCCAGGGAAGAGGTCAGGCGTCTCTGGGAGCTGAGCCTTGTTATACCACTCTGGATTGCGCTCCTGTAAATCCGATTAAATCCGTCATTTTTGCTCCTGGAGTATTTGACTATCCTTCAGCACTAAATGGGAAAATGTTGGGATGGGTGCCATGTTTGTGGTTTGGTTTTTTCCCTCCTGTCAGTATCGAAGTTACAGGATGAGCGAGCAGTGCATTGATTACTGAATTATTTAACAACTCCTCTGGCATCAATTCCTTTGCTTCAGGAAGCCTTTGTGTATAGCATGTTACCTTGGCTGACAGCTGGTGCCTGATGTGCTACAAAAATTGTGAAAAGAATCTTATTTGTTTACGAAACAGGAAAATTATTAGGGTTACTAACTACTAGCATATGTGCTTTTCCTCTATGGATTGTTAAGTAGAAATCCAAGCTTTTTCTTTCTTTCCTGACTTTTGCTGATGATGGTGGCAAATGCAGTACTAAATATGAGCGCAAAGAATAGGGATGGGCAGTCCTGATACTCCATTGGGTTGCACAGCTGTGGATTCAGGAGAAGCTCTATTAAACTGAGCAGGGTACAGACGTGTCATTGAGAGCTGAACTGAATCAGGCAGGTGATATCTAGAGATGATGATACGTGTTTTTAGTAGAGCACAGACATTCTACTGCCCAAAGGATTCAGGTAGCTGTTGGAAGTCTGAACTGGCATGATAAAATGCAGTGCAGCAATACATTTGGATATCAGTCTGCTCTCTAAATCACATTGAAATGTGGAGCTGGGGGAATGCCTATGTTTCTGTTGGGGACTGTGTGCGCTAAGGATTTTCTGCTTCAAAGGAAGTAAAGGACTCAGCTCTGGAGACTCGGATATGTGATTGTGCCTGTTTCCAAAGGAAAATAAAAAGCTGCATAAACAGGTTGTTTTACATCACTTGTCAGAGGTATGGCCCACAGATAACATTTGGCCTATACAGTGCATCAACAGCCATTCTGCAGCATATCATCTTTCTTAGTTTAGAAAAGTAAGTTTAGTGCTGTAGGGAGCAATCAGTGAAGCAGTGTGGACCTGAGTCCACAGCCAGCCTCTGCTAACCACTGATTTTTCTATATCCTTCAGCAATTTACCTGAATACCGGCCCTTAGAGCCTTTCAGCATCCATCAAAGGGTAGGAGCCACCTTAGCTAGCTTTGGACACATGTACTGTAGTATTGTACCCCCAAACTGTCCTCTCCACACACTCCTTTAGGTCAGCATTGTCTGACCTAGTTTAATTACTTGCTTTATGCAGAAGTGACCATAGACGTGCCTCTTTCTTTCCCTTGAATGTAGAATAGAATAATATCGAATAATATAGAATAGAATAGAATAGAATAGAATAGAATAGAATAGAATAGAATAGAAGAGAATAGAATATTTCGTTTGAAAGGGACCTACAATGATCATCTCACAAAGCTCTGGATGTCTTGCTCAGAGGTGAATGCAGGCACTGGGTTAATTGAGTCCCATCTGACCTGTTTCACTGAATAACTCAGCTTTTGAGTACTAGCTGCAAAATAACTGGTTCAAGAACACTTCTTCAGCCCTGGCAGTGTCTGATGCTTTTTCTTTGGGATTGAAAAACAGTCTGGGGCAAAGAAACCCAAGCTTTCATTAAATTAGGTGGTTCACCTGCTGTGAGGGTGCTTTCTGATGGTGGAATTTCCCTTTTTTCCTCCAGCGGTGATGACCATGCCACCACAGTAGCACTTAATGGGAGCTCAGGTCTCAGCAGCAGCATAACCCTATCACCTGGGTCACATCAATGCCTTAGGATAAATATTTACCCCTTATTATGTGTATGCACACTGTCACAGCAGGACCTGGTGCTGCAGAGGTGTAGTAAATCATCAGAGCAGGGTCTAGCATGGCTCTTCTGGCTCATACTTCTATCTCTGCAGTGAAGAGTCTAATGTTACCCTGGGGAGCTGTAATCTAAACCGGATGGCATTGCTGACAGGCTGCCAGCCAGCTAAAGGTTTATTTTCCTCCACCATGTCCCTCCCCTTATTGTCCTAAGTGTGTTTATTTGTTTCCCACATAAGGCATAGCACGTTCCCTCAGAAATAACATGCTGATAGGAGGGCTAATGTTGTTGCTCTGTCCCTTGATGCATAGAGAAAGGGAGGCTGTTTTCCAAGCTGGGTCATCCCTTCCTAGGGATGGGGTTTCCCGTTTCCAGGAGTCAGCGCGCTCAGACCATTCAGACAGTCTTCACTGCAAATGCCAAGTGCCTCTGGCTGATGTGTGATTCAGTATAAGAGTCCCAAGCAAATCTCCTGCTAGCAGAGGAGCAATGAAAAAAATATGCAGTGGAAATGTGTGAAATTCAGCAGCCCCCGTGTCAGGGCAAAAATAAGAACAGTCATATAATAGGATTGCAGAGTCTGGATTCAGTACTCTGGGGTCCCATATCTGCTTGGGATCCTATTCCAAGGATAACCTAGGACAAATCATTCCAGTCCCCTGCTCCTTAGTTTACTCTTTGGCAGCACACAGGGATACACAGCCTCAGAAATGTGGTGTAGGGTGTAGCTGAGCAATGGTCATATTGTCTGCTCCAGTGCAAGGTGAGGTAAATACATCAGCTGCGCTCTCTCAGATGTGCTGCTCCCACTCTTCTCCAGTTTCCATTGTCACAGCAGTGAGAAAAGATGTGCTGGTGACCAAAGGGCATCCTTACACCCTGCTCAAATCCAAAGTGGCCATCCTATGGGTCTCTTTACAGATATTTATTTTCAGTCCTTCCTTCCACATCATCCTATTATTGGTTTTTAGCTTTGATTAGGCATCTGTCTTGTGCTGGACATCTGGACATCTCCCATGGGATTGCTACATTCACTCTATGTCTCCTTCTCCTTGCATTACTACCACATCTCATGTACATTTTTGCTTGCTCCTTTGGTAGACATCCGTCTCATTAATGTTCTACCTGGCTCCGTATTCATGAGACTCGATCTTTTCCTTACTTCACCTGTACAGCTACAAGAATTATACACCTTATGTTTTCAGGGCTTTGTAATATATCTTAAACCTACAAAGCTGCCTGCCCTTTGGCCATGGATTGCCTCACTGTTGTCACTGCTGTTCCTGGATGAGCAGAAGTAGCTCAGTACGAGTTTGATGTACCCATCATCTACTGTTGTCCTTGGTGATTTTGTCCCATGAAGGGGACCTATGAAGCCTTCCTTCATCTAGAAAACTTTTGTCCAAGCCTATAGAATCATGGAATCATTAAGGTTGGAAAAGACCTCTAAGATTGAGTTCAGCCATTAACCTAACACTTCCAGGTGTACCAATAAACCATGTCCCTATGTCCTCTTCTTTGTGAACAAATGGATTCAAACCCCATGGAATCACAGCATCAGTAGAGTTCTACATTAAAACAGTGATAAATGAGAATGTCTTAGCAGCTGCACTATTATCTAGTCATGCATTGTTCTGGTCTGTATAAAGGACACCAATTTAGAATAAAAATTTTTATGGAAGAAATTTGGGCCCAGCTATAGTGGCCTGAAATCTTCTAAATGAGCAGAAAAGCCCTTCCCAGATGAAAATGAGAAATCTTGAGTGTATATAAGATAGGATAAGAAAAAAAGCAAATCTGGGGTGACTGTAAAACACCTCGTGCTCTTCTGGTTGGGCCAGGGGTCCTGATTAGTCCTTAGTAGAACAGTCCTCCCTATAGAGAAAGAGAGATTGCAGAAGTGGGTCTGTGGAGCAGCTGGGTGTAGAGTCAGTGCAACCTCATTACCTCCATGGTCTTTGTGTCCAGCCCATTTTCATCCACAGCCCAGGCTCTCCTCTCACGTATAGGCACAGAGGCTGTGTTGCACTGAACACCTTCCACTCAATTATTTAAAATTCAGTTGCTATGGAACTACTCAGGGCGATCAGTTTAAAGAAAATGCAGATGGCATCTGGTTTTGAGTTCCCACTGCCCTTTGGTTAATTTGGTATGTAAAGGTATTAGGTTAATTAAATGCCATGTGTTGCATGGGGACTGACTGCATTTGTGGATTAATAAGTACCCCAGTGTGTTCTGTGCTGAAAGTTCCCAAGCTGGCAGACGATTATTTCACTAGGAAAGGAAGGTAACGGAGAGAAGTCACAGGGAAATGAAGAGGTTTCCTGATAATCCTGCAGTCATTTTTCCAGAATATGTTAGTTGCAGTGTCCTTCAGGTCCCTGACCAAGTATCAGCCCTCACTGGAGAAACTGGAAGAATTTAAGTGAAGAGAAGCAAAGTTGTTCGGTTTGCTTTGAGTCTCCCACAGTGCTGGTCATATACTGTAAGCGTGTCAGCTGGCCAGTGGAGGACTATGGCTGGTGCATGGAAATTTTTCTGCTAGGAGAAGATCTTTACCAAGAGCCATATTGTGAATTAGGTCAGAGGGTGTACTGCAAGCAGCAGGCATGGTCACGCTGGAGGTCTAAAGTAAACTGGCCACAGCCCTCTGGCATTCATGGTGGAATACACGTAGAAAGCACAGGGAGGGACAAATACCACTCTAAGGTTTTGGAAATGTTGAAGAAGAAGAAGGTCGTTTTCGTGCAGCCATGCCCTGAGGTGGTGGAAGATCAGGAGCGAGACCAGGACAAATGGACACTACTCCGCAACGTCAACCAGGTCCTGAAGCCCACGACCATTTTAGCGGTAAGATAGGGGGTGCCAAGCCCTGAGCATGGCTCGAAGCTTTCAGACTGCTTTGAAATCTGTCTTGCTGCTGATGGGATCCTTATACTGCTTACGCCAGCTTCTTACACCTTCCTCCTTTGTTCCCCCGAAGCACTGTAGCTCCCCTGCAGTGCAACCTTCTTGCTTTTCACATTTCTAAGGTCCTCCTAAAGATCCTCTTTGTGAATTGCTTGGATCTGTGTGTGCTTCCATCATGGTGGTGTTTCCTCCTCTTGCACCACTGTTTGGTTGTCACTGCCCATAGATGGTGAGGTCCTGAGGGTCTGCCCCAGAGCATTTGGAAGGGCACTTGCACCCTGCAGCTGCATTGAGAAGGAAGAGTTGGGCCATGTTCATACTGTAAAGGGACTGATGGTATTCTCACTTCTCCAGTACTTGTGTTGGAAAATAACCTGCATCAGTTTAGGTTATGCAACTTACAAGCCAGTCTGCCCCAGCTAGTAAATGCATGAATCACCCCGATTTGCCCTGAAATCTCCAAATTATCTGCTGCATTTGGGGCTGATCTGCAGATGATTGCATCAGCGGAAGGAGTGTAACTAACTGCCATGGGGTTTATATCAAATTGATTAAACTCAGAAAAGGAAATAGGTCGGCACTCTTAAGAAGTGATGTTATTTTATAACACCCCCCCGACCTTCCTGAGCTTACCAGCTTAGCCCATCCCTTAAGACTTTTTTCACCAGTATTAAGAACTGCACTTTAATGGGTTTAGAAAGAGCAGTTTGAGGGGATGAGCACTTTGTGCATTTAGCAGACAAAGCACAGAAGTTGTCTTACTGGTAGTAGAGTATCAATTTACCTTGGGGAGAGCAGACTGGCTTTTATCTCAGCTGTGTGGTAACAGAAAATATGAAGCAGGCTGCTTTTACAGCTATTCAATATTAAAGATTTTTTTCAAAAACTGCATTACAATCCTCGTTTTCTTGATTGAGAGCAGTTTTTACAGAGTTGCTATCAGAAGAGTTTTCTGCTGAGCAGGGACTGAGCAACCCAGGTCTTACTGACACCTTGATCAGGTTACCCGCCCTGTGCATGAATTTGCCCAGTGATGCAGAGAGAATAACAGTCCTGAACACCCTGGAATGCTTTGAGAGCCTTGTATCAAAGGAGCTAAGAAATAAATATTAATATTAATGGATTTATAATGTATCAGTGCCTGACTTACTGCATTCATTACTTGGGGGTTTTTTTCCCTTTCTAACTGACTTATGGGATGTGAGGATAAGACAGTTAATGAGAAAAAAATGCGAATATTATATTTTTATGAGCTGGATAAAGATACTCATTATAGAGCTGTAGCAAAACCTTATGAGGAAAAGAAAACCCAAACTACAAACTGGATCCCGAACTCCACGTAAACAGGATGACTCTGTGGATATCCTAAGGGAAACCTGTCAAGGCAGTTGCCAAGGGTGGAGTCTACCACAAAATTTTGGAGGACTCCTGGTATGTAGTATTTCTCCGTGTGTGGGTCCCTGGGTGTAACCTTACATCTTGGTAGCACTCACAACTTAGTATCTCTCAGACATCCTAGTGAATGATGACTTGGATGGTGATGTCTCCAGTTTCCACCACCCAGCATGGAGATGAAGGTTGTTTAGCAGCCCATTGGGTCAGACCAAATCTATAAATATAGTCTGTCCACAGAAATGGTTGATAATACATGCTCAGGAAAGGGGTTATATCAGAGCACATGCAAAGTGATACCTCCTGTTTTCCCCTTCTCCTTTTCCCAGCAGTTTTTCAGGACTTCAAAGGGTAGATATTGCATTTGCATTGTGCTTAATAGGTACAAGTGGATCTGGTCCCCAGGAATGTGGTGTTAGGTGGGGCTACCAGTTCACAACCTTAAGCTCAGCTGCATGAATGTAAACATACCAGACAACAGTTTAACTAGATTGCACCAAATTTTACACTCTTCACACTGAGAATAGGGGTGGGAATAATTCTGCTTTCTTTCAGTCTGAGTCCTGCTTGGGGCTTTAGTTTGGAGTTACTTTGAAGTTTGCTTTTGTTCTGAGGAAAACAGCTTCTTTAAAAGACTTTTTGCATTTGAGTAATCTAATATCCACAGAGCTGATGAGCTGATAGTCCCTGCCCAGCAGGACTGACAGAGGTCTATAGGATCACCAGTGACACGGAGTGAGTGGATAGGGGTCAACTGCTTGCTGTGTCTTCCAAAATGAAAACACAGAGGTCTCAAATGAAAGAAGTGAAACATTTGAAACAGCTTTTTGTCGCTAAATTCTTCCTTTGAGATTATGGCTGCTAAAGCTTTGTACAGCTTCGGGATGCAAGTGGACATGCTCCCAGTAGATAAAATCCTCTGGAAAGTACTAAATGCAAACATCCCACCTGCACATTGCTGTAGCTGGGAGAACTCCTAGAGGGGTATATATATATATCTGTCTCTCTGGCTATGTCCTTAACACTTCTTTAGCCATCTCCTTTTCAGCAGTCTCCAAGGTAGGGGAATGTATATTTGATAACAGTTGTCTGCAAGGAAGAAATGTGCCACAAGCCTCCAGATAAGGCTTATCACAATTCAAAACTAAATGTGACTTTCTAGACTTGTATGTTACAGAGAGGGAAACCTCTACCTGGGTGGATTTTTCTGCCTGTATCACTGCTTTGTAACCTGTTTTCTGCTGGATGTACTCTGTGACCAACAACCACACATGAGCTCAAAAAACATAAATAGTGCCATGGGTGTACGCAGTGTGGACCATATCCTGCTGCTGGTACCTTGAAGAGGGTTTCACAGAATCATAGAATCATTAAGGTTGGAAAAGACCTTTAAGGTCATTGAGTCCAACCCAGCATCACCATGCTGGGTTACCACTAAACCATATCCCCAGGTGCCACATCCAAAGCATCTACTTTCCTAAGCATCTGTGAAAAGGGATCATTCGTGGTTTGCAAAGGAAGCAATTTGACTTGTACTAATGATTTGGGTACAAAACATCAGCGACTGTATCCTAAGGGATGCTGAACTTTCTGCAGCCCTGAGTGTAACTATCCTCTCTTTGATTCCAGGGGGATTATGTGTGGATGGACCTCAAAACTGGACGGGAATTCGATGTCCCCATTGGAGCGGTGGTTAAACTGTGTGACTCCGGACAGATCCAGGTTCTGGATGATGAAGGCAATGTATGTACAAAGGGTTGTGATGACCCTTCTTCAGCTCTATAGCCTGGCTAGGCCAGGGGTCACAGGGTCATGATGACTGACTTTATTATGGACTTCCATATGTCCTTGGGAATCAATTGTGCCAAAGTTTTCTATTTGTAAAGACAAAACAATGTTGTGTCCCTACTTTTGTGGCTGTACTGGGAGTGAAAGGTTGAGAACTTTCTTGAGTTCAAAGATAACAGAAGCCCCAAAATACATTTAGTGCTTTGAGCAAACCTACCTCAATCTGCTGTTCCTCTGCTGTTATCCAGTCCATCTTGACCTCCTGCCAATACCAGATGTGCCCAGAGCTGGTTCTCTTTGAATTTGCCACCTCTATTTTTGTGAAATGGTGGCTGTTTTAGAGTAAGGTCTATATCAGAAGCCAAAGCTGGTTCTTTGTCCTTAATTATTTAATTTTTTTGTGGCTGAGATAATTGTAAATGCTCTCACTCCCTTCAAGGATGGTAGAAAAAGATTTGGTTTGGCAGGTTCCATGTGTATGATTTGTAGTGGCTTTTGAAGCCCTTTAGAAGTGGCTAGTCTAAACAATTCTACCAATAAATGTATGATTTTGCCTCCTCCGTGCATCCCTCGCTCCTTTTCTAAATCATCTTCTCTCTGCTCAACAGTATTTTGTGGTAGAGGGTTAACCAGTGATGTGAAAGTGTAGTTGTGAAAGGAAGAACAAATCTGCTATTTGTTAAAAACTCCCCTGATGTGCTGGATGACCATGCTGCCCTGGAGGAGGCTCCTGCCAGGATGGCTCATGTCTCATGTCTCTTGCTGCTCCAATAAAATTCCAATAAAAAGATGGTTTCCTTCTTCTATTATGAATCTTTCGAATTCGTCACTGGCTTGCCCCAGGAATAGAAGCTGTGGCTTGTGTACTGATGCTCTCCCATGTATGTTCTTCCATCTGGTCCTTCTGTTTGCGGTGGGCTGTTTTCTATCTTTCATCCCAGTGGTGTCTCATTTGACTTCTCTTTCTCTGCCCTTTCTTTCTTCCCAGGAGCACTGGATTTCCCCACAGAATGCCAGCCACATAAAACCCATGCACCCCACCTCCATCCATGGAGTGGAGGACATGATCCGTCTGGGGGACCTGAACGAGGCAGGAATTCTCAGGAACCTGCTGATCCGCTATCGGGAGCATCTCATCTATGTGAGTGTCTATCTCACCTCTAACTCTTGTTCTGCAGTGCACCCCCTGCTCTCCTTAGCGCTGGGGAACCCATGTGGAGGAAACCCTGATTGAACTGAGCATCTGGGTTTCTACCTTCACCTTGACTCAAGTGGTGAAAGGCCTCTGATTTTAGAGGGCACATTGCAGAGCTTATGGATGCCTCAGTGAAAGACCCCATGAGTCAGGTAATGAGCAGAGTCCATGCCACCTTGCTGTACAGCCCCCCTGTAGAAGTTTTGGGGATGTGCATTAACTTTCTTTACACAGAATAACCAGTTCAACCCAGAACAACAGCATGCTATAGTTATACTAAAAGAAAAACTTTTGTAAAGGTGTAAGCTACATGCTGAATATGACCCTTCTGCCTTCTTCTCCTGAACCATTAACTCATTTGATCCAACAATTGCTGGAGGTGAAAGGGGTGGAGGAAGGATGAGGAGGTGAATGCATGAAATAACTGGGAACAGTGAAGTGAGCAACTCCCAGAACAGCTCTGAAAAACCTTCCCCCTGTGTTTTTGACTTATTAGCTCTGGGTTGCTTGGGATTTGGATAGCTCATCTCAGTGTCCTTCCTTACATCAGCTCAGGCACATCATGCCCAGTGGACCCAGTGCAGCTTTGCCCACCCAACCAGACATTCATAAATTGAGGGGTTTACAGGAAGCCAGTCAGAACTGCATCTCTTTGCTGCAATAGCATCACAAAGGCCACCTCCCCAGTGGGACAGGAGTCAGCATTCAAATCTCTGTGCTGGTTTTATTGGTGAGGTATATGCTGTGTAGCAGCTTGGCTGCTTGGACAGAAATGTGGAGTGCATGTGTGTTTGCCACTAGCTAATGTAGTCAGCCTTTGCAAATATGGAAAATTTGGTATTGCTCTTAAATCCTACAGTTTTCAGATATTCAGGTAAGTGCCTGCCTGCTGTGCCTTTGAAGGTCTTTTCAAAGCTACCTGGTCATCTAATTTTTAAAGGGCTCTAGAGACCACTGGATTTTCAGACCAGAGGGAACTGCAGGACAGTCAGATTTCACAGGTAACCTAAGCCAACAGACCTTGGCCAGGGTTTTATTTATGAAATCTGCTTGTTCTGCTTGATGTCCAATGCCTTGGATAGGATGGTTTTGGATTCGGGCTGGACACTGGAGAAGACGCCACCTTTACATAGGCTGTTCATATGATTGATAGCTCCTTGCCCCAACTCTGGAAGATATCCATCTCTTCTGTCAGAGATGGGGTCCAATCCTAGAGGAAGGGGACATGACTACTGAATAGGCACCCCTAAGTCCCCAAATCTTGGAGGAGGATGGACACCCCCAAATTCGTCTCACACTCAGGCACCTTATTTGTTTTGGATGATGCCTAAGTCCCTTGTGTTGTCAGTTTAGAGGAAAAAAAAAAGCATGACCAGAAAATTATTCACACATTAGATGAACTGAGTTTCTCCCTGGAGCTCTTCTTAAGGGGACACAGTCATTTATAATGATAAACTAGCAAGTTAGCAGCCCAAATTCATACTTGAGGTGATGTCTCCATGTGCACTGAGCATTCATGGCAGTCACCAGACATATCAATACAGCCAACAGAGACAGCCTTTCAACTGTGCAAAGAGAAGTGCCTGTCAGATCAGATGATTTCTTTGGAGCTAGCTGGAGCTTGTATATTGTAGAAGAGTTTATGTTGGAGGTCTACAATCCAACCTCTTCCGGCTCAGAGAACATCCATCTTCAAGGTTAGATGTAGTACTTATGTGGATAACTGAATTCAAGCAACCTGAATGTAATCCGAGAAGTACAGATGGCCAATAATTTGTAGCTGATTGGCTCAGTCAGGGAACATGTATTTATCCACTGAGCATTGTCCTTTTTTCTCCTGTTTCTGGGCACCCTGCAGTGGCACAAAGTGGATTCTTGCTGCTCTCTCTCTGAGAAAGTTTGGATCATGTTGGATATTTTTTCAGTGTGTCTCTCCTGGGCTTCCTAGGTCATCTGGCAAGTGTGTGTTGCCTCACTAAGTGACCAGAGATCCTCAGATACAATTTCGTGTGTGCAATATCAGATTGCCTGTGAATACACAGAGCTTCTTCATAAACTCTCTGTCTCTGAGCTCCCTCGCCAAGCTACTCAGAGGCACCCAGGGGGATTACAAACACAAACAAGCACTGGGTAAAGCGCTGTTTGGCAGCATCATTCTAATAAGGGCTGATGCAAAAGGCAGCTTCTAACCTGGAGGCAAGTGTGGGTGGTTATTTGGGTTGAAGTGACTCAGTAATCATGTAATTTCTCTACAAGTTCTTCAGGTCTGATGGTGACAGTCCATGTGTCCTGCAGAGCTACTGACTAAGGGATGGCCACGTCCCACAAAGGCGTTTGCATCACAGAGGTTCCAGGTTACTGTGCCTTGATTACTCCACACCACTAATGGCTTTAGAGTGTGAGGCCACTATTCTGGGCACAGCACAGAAATTAGTGCAATCTCAAAATCAGAATGACATTCCCAAAATGATAGAGAGTGCACAGCTTGAGAGGCACCTAAACCACCTCTGTCTACATGTGTTTAGTTGGCAGCTCAGGAACCCAACTTTAGATCTCACTTAGTAAGAGTGATGGCACTAGGAGAAGTAGCTTTGTGTCAGATATGGTAAATATTGATGGCAATTTTGCAAAGCCAAAGTGCCATATGGATGCCATGTTGGATAGGGGATACCCAGTCCCCTGAGGTGTCGTATAATTTGCTCTGTCTTAAAGATGGTGAAGTTTCACTGCTTCAAAGAATTTCTGAGCCTGCTGAGTAAAGGGTGACTTTTCCAATGGGACTTCAGTTCCTCATGTTTCCTCATGTTCTTAGCTTTCTGGAGGGTGTAATTCTGCTCTAATGAAATATAATTTTCCTTTTTCTCCTCCCTCGTGTTTTACTCATAAGACAAACTGCGGTGGGAGGGTAAGTATGACTCTTGGTGCTGTCATTTGCAATCGCTATCATGCCTTCCACTGGCTCACTCTTTTCTGTTCATCATTGTGGCCTTCTCATTTACTTTGCACCACCATTGCTGCTGCTTCACAAATGCACTGAGAGCATCATCCCCTTTGGTGCAGAGCTTGACCCTTATGGTGAAGTTGTGACATCTTCCCAGAGCTGGAAAGTCCTCAGTCTGTGAATGTGGTTAAAGCTTTAAGTGCTTCTCAGTAATGAACTTGAAGGAAAGAAACTTCTGCAGCAAATTAAGAAAATCTTCAACAAGGGCTTGTTGTCCTTGGTTTGCCTTGCATGCAGTAAGAGAAACTACGCTGAATAGGAAGAGAGTGTGGTGGGGAGTTTGGACATGTGAGTAAGGTTAAATCTCTTTATCTGGAGATGAAACCAATGCCTGCTGTTACTCTCTCAGGGCTGCCAAAATGCAGTAATGTTTGGTAGAGCTTTAACCCCATAACAATCCAGATGAAGTCAGCCATGGTGTTCTGGGGAGCAAGTGAAGCAGGCTCAGAAAGGATTTGTTTGGGGCTACTTAAAATGTAGGTCATGCAGGCAGTAATGAATTTGTTGTGAGATGTGATTCCTGTGGTCAGCTATAGCAGAGCCCTTGCTGTTGGTAAAATTTTATTTTCCTAATACAGGAGGGCTTTGTCATCACCCAGCAATAGAAACCAGGTAGATAACATTGCCTTGGAGGTGCCCTTTGGCCCCTCATCAGCAGAGTGAACAAAGTTTTGCATTCTGTCAGCTGTGAGAACTGAGCAAATTGTGAGTATTTATCAACTAGGAATGACCTACAAAAACAAGCAATAGTACAAGAGTTCATGCTGACGAAGTGTTTTGTGGGTCACAAGGGAAGGATCAGTGAGAGCATCCAGAAGGCATTGCCACTAATGGTTAACTCCTTTAAAAGTCTCACTGGCTGCATTTGAGGCATGGCAAAACACTGTGACCGAAATGCAGGGATTTCAGAGACCTCTGCAAGTAGTTAGTCTTTTTTGAAAAGAGGCTCAAGGAAGGTTAGAAATGTCCCTAAAATTAACCTGGTAATAAATTATGAAGAGGAAAAGAGCCTTCCAAATATCTTGCCCTGGACTTGAAGGAGTCTTCATTAGTGATCTTGGTATCATAATCGCATTCAGAAATTGAGCTCACTCCTTCTCTGAGCACTAAGGTTATCTGCTCTGTCCCTGTTGAAGTCTTCTCTGGGACTTCTCTGCTCCCTTATTTCAATGCCTCCTTCTTCTAAAATTACATTCTTTCACAGCCAGTTCCTACCCTTTGGATTTGTGACAACATTGTTCTTGAGCTCAAAGTGCTTTTTTTCCCTTTACTGGCACATAACCCCCTATTACAGAGAAAAGTATTGTGTCTTTTCTTAGTTACCACTGTAAAGTCAAACCTTACCTGAGACTGAACAGAAAGTTGCTCTCTTGTGTTATCATGAAGCTTTAAGGTGAGAAGTCCCTAAGGCCTTTCAACATCCCTACTATGGGACACAATTGCCACCTACTGGTTGCCTTCAGGAAGCCTGAGCACAGACGGTGGCAAACAAATTATTTCTTTTCTTTCACAAGCGTCCTTGCTTGTGCCATTTTGCTGTTTTTTACCGAAGTCTTATTGGGTTTAGGCCATGCAGATAAAAACCCATAAGAATTATATTTATGTTAAAATTATTTATTTTGTTTCCTGAAAAAATATATGCAGCAGTGGGGGCACTTTCACAGGTGTTCCACCAGGAAAGAGAGGTAAGATTAATCTTGTAACTTTAATTGCCAAAAATTAAACTAGAGAAAGTGACTTGACTCCTTTGAAGTCACCGAGTGAAAGGTAACCTTCATCTCATGCCCCTTGGCTAGCCTGAGGTGGAGCCCCATTGACTCATCTGCTTTAGACTCTAACTTTTAGACAGGTGAAATAGGAGAAGGAGATACTTACTTTCTGTCTTGAGATTGGGATGTGGCCAAACCTCCTAACTTCAGCACTGCATCTGAGCAAGATGATAAAGGTCATGAGTCTTTTGGTGAGGGGCTTGAGAGAAATGGCTTTTGGAAGGGCAGAAATGAAAGATCAAGATACAGCAAAGGGGTTTGCTGCCCAAGGCCCAGGACAGCTTTGCTCATTTGAGTTCCACAGAGAGCATGGGGTGGACCAAAGGCCATTTCCAAAATTTCAGAAACATCTGAGAAAGGATATGTCAGGACGTTGTGGGTCATATCTATGTGTGCAGGAGGTTTAAACTGAAGCATGGAGAGGTTTGGTTAAGCAGAGGTGGTAGTGAAGAATGTATTGCAGAGAGATGTATTGTAGAGGGAATGTATTGCAATGTATTCCCTCTGCAATGTGTTGCAGAGGGAAGCTTAGCAGCTCTTTTTGATGAAAATAGCCTAGACAGACACCTGTCAGAATGGTTTGGAACCAGCTGGTCCTGCTTTGAGATATGGGAATGGTCCTTAGGTTTCTTTCATCTCTAGTTTCTCATCATTTGTGCAATGCAGTAGGGGTGTATGGATATGTGCTAGTTCTGGCGATATTTTTGCAAATATGAGCTTGACTTGAAACTCTGAATGTTAACTGAGGAGCATCCAAAATATGAATTAAAGCTTGAGTCCATGCTGTGCATGAGCAGGGCTGAGTATGTAGATATGTTAGATAGTTTGGGACTTTTGTTCCAGTTTTGCTCCAGGCTCCACCCTGCAATCATCTTTGACTTGGACATCATCTTTCATCCAGCTTTTAAAATACTTTGATTTTACTGGCCTCCATCCACATTCCATCCAAGCTGCCAAAGCATCTCAGCCACACCTCACTGTCCCCATAAACCTTCATGTGCTTCTCCTCCAGACATACACTGGTTCAATACTGGTGGCAGTAAACCCCTACCAGCTCCTACCTATCTACTCACCTGAGCAGATACGCCTGTACACCAACAAAAAGATTGGTGAGATGCCACCACACATCTTCGCAATTGCTGACAACTGCTACTTCAACATGCAGCGCAACAACAAGGACCAGTGTTGTATCATAAGGTGAGTTGATGAGTTTCCAAATGGGCCATATCTTGAAAGCAGATGCTCAGCAGGTGCAACATGGTTCATTTGGAACAGCTTTTTAAATAAAATCAGATTAGATCTTCCATCCACATATTCCCAGTGCAGAGGTGGTCTGTTTGCAGGCACTGTCCCTAGTAAAGATGCTTTATCAATCCTTTGGTATTTATACTTACAACCCAATAGATTTCATATTCATCTTTAGCCTCCCCTTTTAAATTTAAAATCAATACTCTTAAAGACATAAAAGATGCGAAGATCTATACATTCTGAAGAAGGAAGGGCAGGGACAAGCTTGATCACTGGACCTGTGGTCATTCACGCTGATGAACTGTTGTCTCCATGCACAGCACTACTCTGCACTAATCAGCCTTGGGCACCAAGAAATGCCTGGGCACAGTTACAGATGTATCTGTTCCAAATGGTGGTGTGAACTGGATTTGATACCCTCAGCTCTCCAACACTCTCCTATCAAATTTGGAACGCACAGACAGTCTCTGTGCTTTCAGGGCATCCCCTCTCTCCAAGGCATGCCTACCCTAAGTTTTGTTGCATTAAAAATCATAACTTTGGAAAATCCCATGTGCAGTGTTTCAGATAAGTCTGAGAAGGCCATTCAGTAAGGATTATTTTGTAGGGCTAAAAAAGCATCATGTGGGGCCCAGATGAGAGTCAGCACAGTATGCCAGTGGCTTGAGAAGTAAGGCAATTTGCCCAGGGAGCCAAGCCTGAGTACTGAACACCAAGAAGGTCTGTTTTGGTCACTTGTATTGGCTACCCTGTATATCAGACAGGCCATAGACTCATACCAAGATGTTTCTGCCCAGCCCTTCCTCTGGTATCATCACAAGATGACTGAAGCTATCTTTCAGTGAAGAGAAAGCTTTGAAGAGTAACTTGCATCCTCCCCTGCGCGTTTCTCCTCTCCTACCTGCCCCTTGTTAGGACAAGCCTAGAGGACCTGTGGAAGTGCTTGCTGTTAAAAGACTTTATTTCATACTCTATCTTATAGTCCATTTTGGCAGCTCAAGACTGGTGATGAAGATGTCCCATGGAAACAACTAGCCCCCAGATCACAGGGTCATGGCCTGGTGATCATACCTGGAAAAGCGCTCTCTGAAAGTGCTTCATTATCTTCTTAGTGTTGATTGAATGATAGCATTTGCTGGGGAGATCCAAGCTCAAGTAACAGCCTGGGCCAAATGGAATACAAAGTAAACCTGGATCTTGGCTGGAAGCTGTGTGGTACCATGTCCTACCATTTGTCCTACAACCAATCCTGGGGATGCTGAAAACCCATCCTTGGTGGCCTCATCCTGCCTAAGCTAACAGAAGAGACACAGACACAGCAGTCCCTTTGGAGACAGAGAAAGGGACCTTGGTAGGGATGCAGCATGGCTTTCACTGACCTCTGTTCCTGTTGTCCTTGCAGTGGTGAATCCGGAGCAGGAAAGACAGAAAGCACAAAACTGATTCTGCAATTCCTGGCAGCAATCAGTGGTCAGCACTCTTGGATTGAGCAACAGGTCCTGGAGGCAAATCCCATCTTGGAAGGTGAGGCCTCAGATAATGGAGGCATTCTTTTGCTGGAAAAAAAATAATCAGATTCAGGAAATACGAAATATGACCACATGTAAGCCACGTCACATTTTGAGTTTCAAAAAGTGACCAAGTTAAAAAAAAATAAATGTCAAAATCCATAGTGTACACATTTGTTAGACAATATATTCAGTTTCTTGCCATCTGAATTTGTTTTTCACAAGACTAATATTCTATGATTTGGGCTCCCAAATTTTCAATTCTTATTCTTGACAACTATTGTTGTAAGCAAAATATTTCAACTGACCTGAATTATTTTTTAAATTGTTTTATTACTTAAAATTGAAAAAATTAGGTTTTTTCCATTTAAACCAGTACTTTTTTAAAAAAATTCAAAACAATTTTAAAAAAATAAACTTAATTCTCCATGTAGTCTGGATCTAAAAAACTGCTGATCAATACTTTTTTGAGTATTTGATGTTCATTCAAAGGTCTTCTGAAAAATCTCACCACGTCTTCTAGTGCTGAAATTATAACTGCATGCAGAGCACCAATATCCTGTCAATGCTGCATTGAACTATTTGTTTTATTTGACCATAGTTGAAAAAATCCTTTTCCTATTCTTTGATGGTTCTGTAAAACATGAGTTTGATATGACCAGAGCCTCACAGACTAAACACCTTGTGGTGGCCATACACAATAGCAAACTCCACCTTTTCCTTCCAAGAGCAGGGAATGGCAGCAGAATGCAGAGAAAGAAATAGAGGCACTTCAACAAAGAACCAGATAATGAGAATCAGCTTTTGGTCTTAATAGGTTCATTGCTAAGCTGTTACTGTGATCAGCCCCACTATTTTAGTTGGATGTCTGTAAATTAAATAGGTGATCTGACCCTCTTGCCCCATTGTGGTGCCAGATGGACCTTTTACACTTATACAGAAAAATCCATTTTCCTTGAAGAGCAACATTGGGGTTGTTCTTTAAGGATAGCGCTTTGATCAGTCTGATCTAGTGGAAAGTGTCCCTGCCCATGGCAGAGGGGTTGGAACTAGATGGTCTTTAAGGTCCCTTCCAACCCAAACCATTCTATGATTTTTACCTCCACTGCTTAGTAAATAGCCCTCTAGAAATCAACAGAAATGTAAATATCCTAACTGCTTTCCTTGCATAATGTTAGCACAGCAGACGAGAAAGCCGCTGGCTGAGCTTTCCTGCTCTGTGCCCTGTTGGAGCTTAACTTCAGTCATGGAATGAAGATGCAGCAGGGCTCTCTGGGCACCACAGGGCTGCCTGACCACTGGTGTTGGAAAGCATCATGTTGCATGACATGTACACAGGGCATTTTTCAATATGCACTTCGTCACTGCTAGGATTCAGGGGTGAGAGGCACTGTATTTCAAATGCACCTCCATCACCTGCCAGCAAACCTGGAGCATAAATTCCAGGTCATGCAGCCAGGGCACTCATCCACACCCGAGGATGGACAGGAGTACCGTTCTCTGCACAGTCTATTTGCAGAGAGAGGTCTCCTGCTGGAGGTTGGCTTAGTCCTCTGTATTTTCCTACTGGATGAGCTCTTTCCTTTCCCTTTCAGTCACCAAATCACTCACCAGCAACTCTGTCACTTCCTGCACTGTGTCACCTTGCATGCTGCAGACATTCTTGCTCAGCCCTCTTGTATTTCATCAGCTGCTGCTGAAATCCTGCTATCCTAGCCTGTCTTCCTCGATAAGGTCACTCCATTTCTAAGGTTCCTTCTCTGTATTTCCAAGGAGAGTCATCTGAGATATATCTGTTTTCCCCACACTGAGATAAAAGTGAGCCAGCCAAATTTAAGGGAGAGGCTTTGGAGCTGCTTTTTACCCTCTCAGCCTCACACTTTGGATTTTTTTCCCATGAGACCAGATCCATGATCCTCTCTGCATTAGATCCTTTCTAACCCACTGCAAATCTTCCCTGCAGCTTTTGGGAATGCAAAGACCATCCGTAATGACAATTCCAGCCGATTCGGGAAGTACATTGACATCCACTTCAACAAACGGGGAGCCATCGAGGGGGCAAAGATTGAGCAGTACCTGCTGGAGAAGTCCCGGGTCTGCAGGCAGGTAAGGTGATACATCTGCTGGCACTCAGTCAGCCACTCTTTGCAGTGCCTTTCTCCTTGCACAGCTGATGCTTGTTCTTCTGCTGCAGGCCCCAGATGAGAGGAATTACCATGTATTCTATTGCATGCTGAGAGGAATGACAATAGAGCAGAAGAAGAAGCTGGGTCTTGGGAAAGCCACGGACTACAACTATCTGGCGATGGTGAGAGCACAGCAAAACAGAGGCTTGGTGGGGTGATGTGGTGGAAGGTTGTTAGCAAGGGAGAAAGAAGAGAGAGAGGTACTTCTGCAGCCAAGAGCTGCTTTGCTGCTTATGATCTTCCCAAGTCTTAGCCACAGGGTTTGTGGGACCTCTTTGTCCCACCACAAGCCTCATGGTGTTACTGCAAACCCTTAACCCCTGTGTTTAGATCAGGCTATTTCCACACTTCCTGTGATGCAGGACACAAACCTGGATTATTTTGGCATATGGTGCCCAGGCTTCTTGTTTGGAAATAACCAGGGTGTTAGATATCACCTGATACTCTTTCACAGTGATGGACTGGGAGGAGTGTGTGGCTGGATGGTGCACTCTTAGCAGCATATGGGGCTAAGCTGTATGTGCTCCACATGTCCAGCTGAGCCAGTGATCTCCAGCCCCACTCCCTATATACCTGTGTCAATATCCGGTAGAGCTGATAGAAGCAGGTGTAATTAAGACATGTATCAGCAGCAAGGCTGGGACCCAGCTTTCTAGCTGGATCAGTGGGAGCCTCCAGCTTTTTATCCCCATCTCAGGGAGCTATTTCTCTTCTGTAGATTGCAGTAAGACACAGGATAGCTGGGGACAACAGGGTAAGTGTAGGTCACAAGGCTGAGCACTGAATCAGAGAACACACCAAAGGGCAGAACCAGTCCCACAAGTTCAACATCATCCCTTAAACAAAATGTCTGCTGCTTTAGGGGGAAGCCCTGGATAGCTTAGGGTTACACCCTGATGCTCTTTGCTTTGCCCCATGCACTCTGTGACCTCTTTGCTTCCCCAGGGTAACTGCACAACCTGTGATGGCAGAGATGATAGCAAGGAGTATGCCAATATCCGCTCAGCTATGAAAGTCCTCATGTTCACTGACACAGAGAACTGGGAGATCTCCAAGCTGTTGGCTTCCATCCTGCACATGGGCAACCTGCAGTACGAAGGTAAAAGGACAAGATACAGGGACATGGTCCAGTGCACTGCTGCTTTTTATTCTCTGTGTGATGAGAGGGAGCCAAGCTTAGGGATGGAGGTCTCTGTCCAGACCACCTGTCATGGTACAGTGCCAGGGACTCAGGTGCTTATTGTGGCATGTAAGGACAAGAAAGGACTAATAATTCCACCTGTCCAGTGCAGGGCTGCCAGACTGCGGTAGGCTCAGTGACATCCACCTTTTCTGAATGTAGCAAGGCTGAATATGGCCAGAGGCCATTCTGTAGACTCAGTTTTTAAAAGGAGAGACTAATGGAATGTTTGACAGGTGCCTGTGTGATTGGATATGCCTTTGTAAAGGTACCAAATGGCCTTGCTGTCAGAAATGACACAATGATTTTAAAAGCCTCTTTGGAAGACAGAAGCCTAAAGCACATAGATGCTAGAAACATTTTTACTCCATCAGTCATTTAGGGTGTCTGGCATAGCAGAGTACAGGTCCTTTGCAGCCTGCAGCAGGACTCCAGCAGCTGCTTCAACATTTTCTCCCTTCTGATGGCCAGATTTTGCCTGGATGTCACACAGAGGCAGTGGAGAAAGACCCTTTCCCTCACCCCATCCACCTTCTGCAGAGACGTGTCCGTTGCTGATGGCTTTCCCTCTACCTTTCTTTCCCCAGCTCGCACCTATGACAACCTGGATGCCTGCGAGGTTGTTCAGTCAGCATCCCTAATCACTGCAGCATCATTGCTGGAGGTCAGTGGTTCTGTGGTGCTGCTGTGCCCTTTCTGATTTGATCCATGTTTCTAGTATTGTGGCAATACTAGGATACTAAGAAGAACTTCTTCACTGTGAGGGTGATGAATCACTGGCATAGGTTGCCCAGAGAAGCTGTGGATGACCAATCCTTGGAAGGCCAGGTTGGATGGGGCTTTGAGCAACCTGGTCTAGTGGAACATGTCCCTGCCCATGCAGGTCTCTTCCATGCAGGTCTCTTCCAACCCAAACTATCTTATGATTCCATGATTCTATGATGTGAGCTTCCCTTAATGCCAGTGGAGAGACACAGATCCTTTGGTGGCAACATCATCCTAAAAAGGACATCCAAAATACCCCGTTCCCTAAAACAGAGTGTTTTCCTCATTGGTATAGAGAAAGTTCATAACAGCAGCTGAGACAGAGATGACATTTATAGTCTGTATCTGAAATGAGGTGAGATGACCCTCACTCAAACCATCCATGCAGTGACTGGAGCATTCTTCAGCAGTCTCCCCAAGAGGTTACAGGGCTCCCACAGAGACATCATCTCATCTCCATAGGCACTGCTGCTCTCAGGGTGTGATCCACAGCTCTCTGCAGGCTGTTTTAATGTACTTTAGGTAGTGGACATTTTCCTGCTTTGTTCTCAGAAGTATGAAAAGAGGTCAAGGGGATGCAAAGCTGCATCCATTCTGGTAGTATACAACTTTGCAGGCTTTGCTTTCTCATCTTCTCTTCCCACAAATCGTTAATAGCGCATTTGAAGTCACAAGAAAACTTTCAATAGTAAAATACAGTATAAAAATGTTAACTATTCTCTCTGAAAATGCTTGTGACATCATTTGAGATATTTTCCCTGTACAGATAAGAACAACCACTAACCCCCAGCTGTGGGGGACTGCACTGCTCCTCTCTGGCCATGCGTGAGCAGGACAGTAGTCCAGGCCATTGTAAGGACACCTTGTATTACAAAATCAGCAGTTGTGTTTGATGATGTCTCTGTCAGGTTGAGCCTCAGGATGTGATGAACTGCCTTACCAGCCGGACTATAATCACCAGGGGTGAGACTGTCTCCACCCCTCTCAGCATGGAACAAGCGCTGGATGTGAGGGATGCTTTTGTAAAGGTAAGTCTGTTGATAAGCTGAAGAAATCTGCCTTTTCTGAGACTGGAACATCCACTGCACAAGAAAAGTGTCTTGCTTAGTGCCCAGGTGAGCTCAGATCAGCAGTTGGCCTTAAAACCATGTTCTAATTGGGATTCACAAGGAGGTAAGATGGCAGCAGAATAGGCATCCTGGTCTTCAAGCGATTTGCAATCTGGATTTGAGATTGTCTGTACTCGAAGGTGACCTACAGAAGGAGACAGCATTCTGAAATGACTTCATCTCATCCCAGCTTGAGCCCCAGGGTTAGATCCTCAGCCACTATAAATCAGAGCAGCTCTATCAACACCTGTAACACCCACACCTGAATTTCAGGATTTGGGCATGTCTGCAGCAGTAAATAAAGCCAAACATCATGGGAACAGAGATAGAACTGTTCAGCAGCCATCAAAGTACTCAGAGCATCACCTGAGGCTTTGGAGTGATGATGGTTGATGGGGTGGGTGTGCATTACTGCTGTGCTGTTTGCAGGCCATGTAAAATTGCAAGACAAGCATTGGTGGCATAATTTGGTCAGCTTGGGTTCCCACTTTATCTGTGGTGGTTTGATAGCTAACTAGTCTGCAGATTCTAACAGTGACTTCTCTAATGGTGGTGGGCCTTTGAATTGGGCTCCCTCCTAGCAGCACTGCTGTAGCTTATATAGTAGAAATGAACTGCACTTTAAAATGTGAAGTTCTGGAATTACTGAAGCAGCAACAGCTGTTTCATTAATCATCAGGCTGTTCAGCCAGTGCTGCAACATTTGAGTGAGTACCTTGTCCAGGCAAGATGCCCTTGGCTTGGCTAGCACTGTGAGATAACTCTGCTGATCTGGAGAGAGAAATGTGTGGGCACCAAAGAAAAGACTGGCTTCACAGCAAGCCCATAGATACAAAATTTAGGACTATTCAGAATTGCGATTTTGCTTTCAGTTGTCTTTTGTCTAGAATTTCTGGTCTGTTGTCTTTATCTACATAATGGCTCTTGAAGCTTTAAACCATGCCAGGAGTCTGGCACAAATGTTAGTGAGCTGCCCATTGCTGGCCATGCTTTAGGAGAACCTGTGCCATCAGGAGTGAAATGGTGCCGCAGACTAGCAGGGAGAACTGCTGAACTCTCTTAGTGAATTCCATTTTTGGGATGTTGCAGGGAATTTATGGACGACTTTTTGTGTGGATTGTGGAGAAGATCAATGCTGCAATTTACAGACCTCCTTCACAGGAACTCAAAAGTATGAGGAGATCCATTGGCCTTCTTGACATCTTTGGCTTTGAGAACTTCAGTGTGAACAGGTATGGATCCTGCAAAAGGAGAACCAAGTCTTAAACATCCTTCCCCACCCCAAGCTCAAGGTCTTGTGGTCCTTTCACCTCTCCTGAAGTGAACTGGACTAGGCTGGACCAAGCCCTTTTCTGTATGAGAAATTATCAGAGCTAATCACTTGCAGCAGACAACATATCTCCTAAACTGATTGGTTCAGACCACACACATATAATGGTTCTAACACTGTTTTGGGGGAGAAAGGCTGATTTTCTGAACCAGTATGGAAATTCTCAGCCAACAGCAACCTTACTGAGTGGTTGAAAAGGTCTGAGAGTATTGCTCCAAGCACAGAGAGAGATGTAGAAAATGAACCATGATGGATCTAAAGTGGCCTTTCCTTGACCTTCCCTCCACAGTTTTGAACAGCTTTGCATTAACTTTGCAAATGAAAACCTGCAGCAGTTCTTTGTGCGCCATGTCTTCAAACTAGAGCAGGAGGAGTACAACCTGGAGAACATCAACTGGCAGCACATCGAATTCACTGATAACCAGGATGCCTTGGACATGATCGCTATCAAGCCCATGAACATCATCTCCCTCATTGATGAGGAGAGCAAGTTCCCCAAGGTGTGTTTTGGGCTTAGCCTTGCTGCCAGTGACTTGGTTTTATCCCCTTTGCACTTGCGTGCACAGATACGGGTCTGCTTAGCCCCAAACACATACTTACCATTGGGTTGCCTATTCATAGTTTTCATTACTCTCTCAAATTTTCTTCCATGAGTATCACAACCATGCTTAAATCAAGTGTTTCTGATGGAAAAATGTGCCTGCAAGAGGCTCAAGAATATCTATTGACACAGTTTACTAGAAAATAATGTTAAATATATTCCTTAGGGAGCACTGTCTTGAATATAGCACAACATACCAGTGCTATTTTATCCATTTCTTTAATTTCTACACTTGGATATCATCTCCAAGAAATGGATTATTGACTGGAAAATTATTTTAATGGGAATAACTGGTTAAATGTCAGATCTTTTTCTGCATGCACAGGGTACAGATGCCACCATGTTACACAAGCTGAACTCCCAGCACAAGCTTAATACCAACTATATTCCTCCGAAGAATAACTATGAAACCCAGTTTGGCATTAACCACTTTGCTGGAATTGTTTACTACGAAACTAAAGGTACGGGGCAGCTCCTAGGGCACTGCAGATGTGAGGGGATGCTCGGGGGAAGGTGCTGCTGTGTTGGAGCCAAGCAGGGTGGTAGTCCATAGCAGTGTCTGTTTATTCCTTTTCTGGCTGCAATGACTTGACCGTTCAGCAGTGCCTGTGTGCTACAGAGTTTGGTGCTGTTTCGTTCATGTGTGCCTGTGACAGAATGGCAGTGCTTTGCACCACATGCATCTTTGATCCAGTCTCAAGATGTGCCTCTGTCTTCCTTCTCATGGTCCCTCTCTCTGCCCACTCATTACTCCCATTACTTCCCCAAGAACATCCAGTAGTCCGACAACCCAGAGGCTGCTTGCAGCTCACATACTACCCACATTGCACTGTGTCATCTCTGTGTTGTCCCATTATTTCTCTAGGTTTCTTGGAGAAAAACAGGGACACGCTGCATGGAGACATCATTCAGCTGGTGCATTCCTCAAAAAACAAATTCATCAAGCAGATCTTCCAAGCAGATGTGGCAATGGTAATACAGGCGGGAGATCTTTATCCACAAGGAGGGGTGTCCTGTAAGGGGTGGAAGAGTTGCAGAGCCATATTGCTCTGATGGTCTTTGGAGTGTTTCAAACCTGTTAGTGTGAGTCAACCATCAGAAAGAGTTAATGGAGTGTCACAACCACACTCACGCCACCAGTTCACTGCGTTTGGTTCATCGCATATTATTTTGCTGTGATTGCTCCTCTCCTAATTGTGTAGGGATTGGAACAATATGATTTGTGGTTGTAAAAATCTGAAAGGAAAAGAACTGACCCTTCCAGTTGAGTCATCCAGATCTGTGTATAATATAGTGAGAAGTAAACTGATAAATGGCAGTTTAGATTAGGTATTAGGAAGAAGTTCTTCCCTGTGAGGGTGGTGAGGCACTGGCACAGGTTGCTCAGAGAAGTTGTGGCTGCCCTGTCCCTGGAAATGTTCAAAGCCAGGTTGGATGAGCAACCTGATCTACTGAAAGGTGTCCCTGCCCATGACAGGGGGGTTAGAACTAGACAGTCTTTAATGTTCCTTTCAAGCCAAAACATTCTGTGACTCTAAGTGGAAACCAAATACTTGTAGACCAGAGCAGAACTAAGGGACAATCTTACTGGCCCTTAAGCACCGCAGCAGGACTGGGAGAGACCAGTCAACAGTCATGTTTTACTGTTACAACAGGAGAGAAAGGGAACACTAGTTATGAAATCTGAACTTTAAAGCTCCTCTTTCCACATCCCAGTCATCCAGAAGGGTATGTGCTTTCTCCATGCTCAGTGTAAGAGAAGACCATGTGCACTGAAGCTTTAGAGAAAGGCACAATTATTGCTTTAACCCTCCCCAGCCCATTTGAGCATTTATTACTGGGATACCAGGTTAAGGGCTGAGATTAGTGGCTATTTCACCATTAATAACACAAATATACAATGTTTTCTTGAGTAAGTTGAACATCTACATCTCCCCATTAAGACATCATCAACCCTGCTCCAAAAATTACAGTATAAACTGTTTAAAGTATCAGCCTTGCAGAATCTGAAAGTCTACACAGATTGGTCACTATGGCCAAATCCCCCCATCTTCCCCTAGGAAAAGCCATGGGACTGCAGAGGGTGTGGGGATAACATTTTTCACAGCAAGCAAATATTTTAGAAGTCAGAGTCCCATTTCCAAATGCCAGCCAATGCCACTGATGGTCCAAGGGACTTAGGGACTTTCAGGAGTGATAACCAGTTTCAAGTATTAAAATCCTTTACCTTTAAAGGGAAAGAAATGTTTACATTCCCAAGATATTTCTTTAAATAGGCTCTTTTGCAAGCCTTGTTTGTAACCTTTAGCCACTCAGT